ACAGAAGATAATTACCTCAAATTCCGCCTGAGCCTGTATGTGGACTATAGCCTAGTTCGAGCCTAGTTAATGGATAGAGTCTCGGAACGTGACGGTGCAGCCCTACGCGACCGACGCCGGCCTTGCCGGCATCGCGGGCTCTCCTACCGAATCGGCGGCCCCGATCGCCGCGCAGGGCCGCATGGGGCTGGTGGTGGTGAAGTTCTTTGACCGTGACGGTGCTTGCTGACGGTGCTTTCAATTTTTGGTTTCCGGCACCGCAGCGGGGACTTCTGCTCTGCTACGCTTCCGAAGTTTTCACTCTACGTGCGAACTACAGGAAAGGCGCAGCGCGAGCTATGAACGGGCCCCCTGCGTCTCCTCCTCGAGCCGTGTCATCTGCTCCCAGCCATACGATGTCCGTGGGGGGAGGGGGAACCGTTTCGATTGCGTGGGGGCTTGGCGCCCCGAGCAAGCTCCTGCCGCCAAGTCTGCCACCTGCGCTGTCTGGCCACGCGGAAGCATAATCGAAGTGCGCTCGGCGATAGCCAAGCTACCTTGGGAGGCTATGCTCTGTGCCTTGGGCTATGCTGCCCTGCCTCGGGACCATGCTATCCTCCCTTGCAGACTCCATGGCAGGGGTTCAGACTCCATGGCAGGTTCCTCACACAAATCCATGGAGGAGAGTCGATGATATAGATGCCGGGTGCGCTCGTGGTACACACAAAATTAGGTATACGTATAATTTCAAATATTGTTGTTACCGGGGCCAGAATCACGGAGAAATGATGGTGACTATTGAAGGACACGCAGTCACTTGAAGTGTTGTTGTACATACCACGGCCCTCACCCTCACTCGCCTGGTTGTATAGCGCACGCAAGACCCTGCAAGGTCTTTACTGCGGTGCTCAATTCCATATGTTCCAGCAGCCCTCTGCTTGAACTCACGTGTGGAACAAGGCTGGTGACCAAACTGATATGAGTGCATTTCGTAATTAGCAAAAGGACGCTCCTTGAGCATTGAGTGCCAAGGTGCGGTATGACCTTTGTATGCGCCGGCTTGAGCTTTGGCGAGAGCTGAGACTGCACCGCCACGTCCTCTTATTGCGACCTCTCGGGTTCCCGCTGCACGGGCTGCAAGATGTGAGGAGGAGAACGTGACGATCGCACTTTGAAACGCTTCGCGAATACTAGCATACACCAGGATAGCTAGGGTTCAACGTAACTTTAACCATGGCGCCACGGCGCTCGTTTAGCGCGGGGTTTTGCCTGGGACTTGCCAGTCGTCCTATGGGGAGTTGCCCAAAATAGGAACGGCGTCCATTGGACACGATCCGGCGACCACAGAGTCCTACCAGTAGCTGCATAGTACGAATCCACGGACAGGCCCGGCCGGGGCTGCCAGTGGGGCACAGTACGACTTTGCGGTGGGCTTTGTTAGAATCCGAGTATGCTAGTATGAAGCACCAGCATAGTATAGCATGAGCATAGCCAGTACAAGGCAGACTGAGCATAGCCAGCATAGGCCAGTATGAGCGTCCCAGCATAGGGAGGATAGCATAGTCCCGAGATAGCCCGAGGAGCGGAATGTAGGCTCCCTAGGTAGCTGAGCATAGCCAGCATAGGCCAGTATGAGCGTCCCAGCATAGGGAGGATAGCATAGTCCCGAGTTAGGGTAGCATAGCCCGAGGAGCGGAATGTAGGCTCCCTAGGTAGCTGGCTTATCGCCAAGCGCACTTTGATTGTGCTTAATCACACTCGCGTTCTAAGGGCGATATTCGCCGCTTTATCAGGCTTATCGCCAATACTGCGGTCTCATCAAGATCGTATTCTTCAAGCTTTCTTTTAATGTCATTCATGATCTTGTCGAGACCAGACCAAGAATTCATGCCCAAAAGTAGTTTCATTTCCTGTGTATGATCTCGATGATGAATTACCCATGCTCTTTCTCAACTCTGCACTTCTTGGAACCGCGCCGCCTTCAGTTCGCTGTCTATGAGACTTCAAACTGGATTGGAATGAAGTAAGGGAGGGAAGGAAAACTAGCAGGATACGCAGTAGGATCACAGTGGGATATCAAGGTGCAGTTCACTGAGGATGAGGGTAGAAACCTCTCTATCTCTCTATTACAGGAACTGAGGTCCAGGTATATAAGGATAGGAACCTGCGAGGGGAAACAATGACAGTAGGGCAGATACAGGAGAATTTTCCTCCTGGGAAGTACGAGATATATATTCTACCTCTCTCCTCTGTATCCTGAATATCCTGGCTGATATATCCTGGCGGCTATATCACTTGAACCTATCCAACATTATCTGAATCTGAATGACTAGAACGATACTTCCACGAATTATCAGAAATCTATGGTCTTGACACTTTTGCCCCGCCTCTAATGGATGAAAAAAAAAAAAAAAAAGAATCGCTAGGAGATCTCGCTCTCTTCTTGATTTCCAATCACCGAGAAAAATCGCGCCACTCCACCCTCCCCTCGTTTTGTCATGACAGACTACAATGATGATGGAACGCGTGTCGGGGATCAATTGGAGTACGAGTTTCCAGAGATGCCCGCGCAGGCAAAATCGCTGTTAGATATAACTGAAACACCACTAGATGTTCGACCGGTGGTTATATCTTATGGGGGGCACTTCTCTTCGCATCGCTTTTTCGCCAGTGGGCATATACAGTTCTATCGAGCCTTTATGCAATGGCACCGGCGGACTACACTAATTTCGAAAGCGTGCGTGGAGCAACAGGCCTGTCTGCGGATGAGTACGCGGACATTGTGTATGCGTACACTATCATTGCAGTGAGCACAATGGGTGTCAGTGGGGCATGTGCTAAGCTGTTTGGAGAAGGGCGCACGGCATGTACAGGACTTCTCTTTCAAGTTGGGGGATGCGTCTGCTGTGGGCTCGCAAGCGGCGTGCCACAGATTGCAGTCGGCACGGTCTTCCAGGCCGCGGGGTTCGGCATATTTCTGACTCCAGCATACTCCCTGGTCTTCGGCATTGAGCGCAGCGGCACGCGCCGTGTGCTTGCTACGACCACGATTCAAGCGGCCTCAAACTTAGGCACCGCGGCAGCGTCCATGAGTGTTGTAATGGCAGACAATGGCCTCGGCTGGCGTGGCACCTATTTTGTGATCGCGACGGGTCTTGGAATCTCCGCAATCACCCTCATCCTGGCTCCCAACATGTTTACAACAAGAGGTGAAGTTGATAAACCCATCGCCGCCCTCACACGTGAAATTCAAGACGCAGCAGTGTGGATGTATGATGGGAGGTCGTTTTTTTGTCTAGCCATCGCCGCCTCGGCGATGTGTGGTGTATCTAGCACGTTAGAGGGCACATGGATTACCACATACTTTCTCGATAATTATCCTTACTACACAGATTTGTATTCATATCTCACTGCGTCTATTATCACAGTTGGTATTGGTGTCGGATTTCTTATCGTTGCTGGCTGGCTAGTGGATCGCATCGTTTCTGCTGCCTTGTTTGGAGTTCCGACGATTCTCGTTGTTCCTGGTCTGTCTCTCATTTGTGGTGTGCCCTTTAAGCTGATAGCCATTGTAACAAACGATGATTTCTTTCTAGCTTTCATGGGCGAAGCTATCGGAAAGTCCTTTGACACATTCATAGAAGCACCGCTCTATGTTTGTCTCCAGCTTGTATCACCGCCAAAGCACCGTCCTACGGTTGTTGGCCTCTTCCTCTTCTGCTACTGGGTTGTCGCCGCGACCATTGCAGAGATAATTAATGATGCCTTAGGTCTGAGTTTGTACCAGATACTGCTTGTCGCGTGTGGCGCCCAGGCTGCCGGTGGCCTCGGCTATATTATACTTGGCTATATCGAGTATCCAGCCGCCCTCCGCGCAGCAACTGAACACACTCATGGGTCCGACGACCGCGCGGATGCGAGCCCAGCTGTCTTCTAGTCATGGAGCCCCCATCGTAACTTAAAAGCCACCGGCTACGCTCGCGGTCGCGCCCTGGAGCCCACTGCGCAAAGTGAGTTGTGGGCCACACCGCCTAGCCGTCCGTGGGCGCCCTGATTACTGTTAGAATCCGAGTATGCTAGTATGAAGCACCAGCATAGTATAGCATGAGCATAGCCAGTATAAGGCAGACTTAGCATAGCCAGCATAGGCCAGTATGAGCGTCCCAGCATAGGGAGGATAGCATAGTCACGAGTTAGGGTAGCATGGCCCAAGGAGCGGAATGTAGGCTCCCTAGGTAGCTGGCTTGTCGCCAAGCGCACTTTGATTGTGCTTAATCACACTCTCGTTCTAAGGGCGATATTCGCCGCTTTATCAATTACCGGCAACATACCAGGGTATGGTAATTACCCGGCAATTGTCGGTAATTCAAGTTACCGGGGCCTCCGGGGCATAGCCCGAGAAAATATTTTTCTGGGATTAGTGGCCTATTTTTCTGGGTTTAGTGCCGGGAACTGCGTTTCTGGGTTTAGTGACCGGCGAACGGACCTCCTGGGTTTAGTGATCGGTCACGATGACTTTTTGGGTTTAGGATATTCAAACACGGCTCCGCTGACCGCCGACAGCAACGCCGTGGTATGGCGGGGATCGCGACGCTCGCGGCCGAGGCCGCCGCCGCGAGCGTCGCGCGCTTCCACGCCGAGGCCGCGGCCGCGCGCGAGGCGGCGGCCGAGGCGCCGCCGCCCGGCGCGGGCGACGTGCGGCTCGAGCGCTACAACGCCGCGAGCCGACTCTGGCACACGCTCGCGGCCCCGGCCGCGCCGCCCGCCGCGGCGGGGGCGGAGCGCCCCGCCGCCGAGGTCGCGCGGCTCGAGGCCGAGCGGCGCGCGGCCGAGGAAGCCCGCGGCCGCGCGTTGCCGCCGCCCCCCGAGCCCAAGGACGACGCGCGCGACGCGCGCGACGCGCTCAAGGCGCACGGCGA